ACAGACCATCCCCCAGTACAGCCAAGTGCAGACCATCTCAGACACCTGCACTCAGGCCCATGGTCCTAATCATCCTCTATGCAAACCTGCTGGGTAACGCCACAAAGAACCCAAGAAGGGCTCCCACAGGACATACATTAACATCCCACAGCAGTCCTGTCCTCAAGGATCTTCCAGCTAGTGGAGCAGACAGGCACATGATTGTAATTCAAGAGGTAACTGGAACAGAGGTGTTTATAACGAGATGTGTGGGTCGAATAAGATTTTTGGAGGAAGATGACCCTTAAGCCAAAGCTAACATATGAGCAGGGGCTGATAGTCAAAGCAGGTAGAAGAAGGACCAGAATGAACAAAAACTATCAGGTCCAAACACGCAAGGGTTCATGCAGAGCTTAACCAAGAGGCCAGGACACGCCGCGGGTGCACCGTGTACAGTAGTGGAAGAGATACTTGAGAAAACCTTAGACACAGAGGCTGGTGTCAACAAGAATAAAAGCACCAAAGGACCACTGCTTTTGTGTGTATCACCGTAAGGTCCAGAACAATGACACAAATGTTCATGATCCGCACAAGTAGACAATCGACGTTGAAGGAATGGACATAAGCGCTCTGATGCAAACATCACTGTCTCCACAATTTTTCCCCCCACAATGTTTCTATCAACGAGAGATGACAATGAGCCCAGGACATCAATTTGTGGGCAAAAGGAACGGGATGGAGGAACTGCCATTGTGGGAAGAAAGGTTGTGGGCAAGGGGTGTACTGCTGTGGTGAATACCCCGAGACCCATCCATGGGAACGGCTCAACTGTGGGAGCAGCAGCTGAGGAGGCCGCCCGCAGGGAGCTGGCGACCCAGCTGTCGCTGGCCTCTTACCTGTGCGGGCCACTGCCCGCCCTCCAGGCGGAGCTTGGGTGCGACGTCTTTTCGATTGGCCGCGGCACTAAATCCAGGGGCGGGCATTCGGGGCCGGGCGCCCTTGAGGATTGGCCCGGTTGTGAACAGACTCTGTGGACGCCGCGGGTTCGTCGGCAGCTCCGGCTGCGCGCAGGGCGGGCTCCTCGCGGTCCCCTGTAGTCATTGGTTCGGTGCGGTTTCCTTGGGGACGTGGCGCCGCTGGCGGCCAGGCCTCCTTCCGGCTGTGCCGGCAGCCACGGGGAACCGCTGGGGACCAGGCTGGGCTGTGCAGAGGGACGAGCGGGCCTCGGGATCCCGTGAGTGAGATCGCGGGAGAGTTGCGGGAAGCAGAGGGACGGGAAGAGGAAGCGGGGTCCCCCTATCCCTACCACCTGGGGTGGCGTGCTCCACGAGCACGGAGCCGGCCGGCAGGGAAGCCTTGAGTCCGGGATGCTCGTTAGGGTCCTCCAGGCCCGGGGGAGGAGAGAGACCCGACCCGGAGTTGGGGATCAGTATAGTTGGAGGGAAGTGTGCAGTCACTGCGGGGATCTGGTCCTGTGGGCACTGCTGGATGTCTGAAAGCCAGCCAACCCTTTCCAGGCTGCAGCCTTAGGAGATGCCGGGGACAAGGAGGCCACCTTCTCAGGGCAAAAGGAAAAGAAGGTGACAGACGTTGAGTCTACTGAAGGGAACCCATGGCTAGGTAAGGTTTGCACCCGTTATCTCTGGCAAAGGGCTCAGTGGAGGGTGGTAAGCGGGTTGAGTGGGTGGGTGGGGGGCGGTGGGGGGCGGTGGGTGAGGTTTGCCCTGAGGCTTCACCTGAACTTTGCATCCTGGTCCAGGTGTATGCAAAGACGTCAAAAGTGGTTTTCTTTTGAAAGGCCAGTGCACTAATTTCCTGCCCATAGCCTGGGGTCGTGGGAGTAGCGTGGTTGCCTCTGAAAGGTGGTGGTGGAGTCAGAGCCAGATTCACATTTTACTCTGTATCAGTTAAAGCTGATGTTTAAAAAGAGTCTCTCTCTGTGTATAACTTGTTAAAGCATTAAAATCGGTTAAAGAACTTTTCTAGCTAGGCTTCTCGGCATTGCTAGCGGGCATGTCGCAGTTCCTCTGATTCACCGGGGTTAGGAGGTGGCCCCCGGGAGACTCATGATCTTTCCATTAACTCGAGATGAAATCTTTGAATTACACTCGAGCCCAGAGTTTGGAAACAGCAGATGAGGTCTTTCTGAACTGCATAATAGAAATACTATGAGCCATACAGGTGTTTTTCTCTCGTATGGGAACGGGGGAATAAAAAACATTTAGCTTTCTCTTGTCATGAATTTTTGCCTTGAGGGCTTTCATCTAGTTATAAAACCGTTTTAAAGCAGTCACTTACAGAGGGTTTTAAGGCTTAACAAATGTTTGTCTCATTCCAGGATCAGTTTTTCCTACCTCTGCCCAGCCTCCTGGTACTTCACTGTGCCCACAGTGAGCCCATTTCTCCGTCAGCGGGTGGCATTCCTGGGACTCTTTTTTATACCCTGTCTCCTTTTGCTCCTATTAATCATGGACTTAGGACATCGGAGCGCTTCGTCACCACGAGATAGGCAGTACGAGAGGTGAGTCAGCTTTACATCACTTTGACCAGCCTGGTGTTGAAGTTATAAACTTACTTTTGCAGCTGGGGGCTGCGCCAGGGTCTTACATGTTGGTAAGCATTCTATCACTGAGTTATGGCCTCACTCTCCTTTTTATTTTGATTGTTGAGACAGGGTTCTCACTAAGTTTCCCAGACCCAGAATGATCTGGAACTCACTCTGTGGGCTGATCTTGGAACTTGCAGTCAGCATACAGCTCCGCCTCTTGACTAGTGGGCTAGCAGTCTGTGTCACCAGACTTTGCTATCTTTTTTTTAAAAATTCTTTAATGCATACCTTTGACTCATGAGAGATATGATACTTTTATTAGTAAAAATGCATGCCATTTATTACATAGGAAGGTCCTAAGTCCCGTTTTGACTCTGTTCAGCTTGGTTCAAGAATGCTGATGCTGTATTCTAACCATGAAAGACGGCTTTCTATTTTCTTGTCTGGGTGGATTGAGGCTCACTGGGTACATACATGTTTAGGATTGCTGTATGCTTTTAATGAGTTTATGAATTCTCTGTCTTTGCTAAAGAGTCTCTAGCCTTGATTTTATTTTTTGTTCTGGTCTACTCGTGTGATATTAATATAACTATTTCAGATTTCTTCTGAATCATGTTAATGTGATACTTTTCTGGTCTTTTAAGTTTGTCTTTAAAATATTTATTATTAGCTGAGTGTGGTGATACATGCTTTTAATCCCAGCACTTGGGAGGCAGAGGCAGGTGGATTTCTGTGAGTTCAACCTGTGAGGACAGCCTGGTCCATAAAGCAAGTTCCAGGACAGCCTGGGCTACACAGAGAAAACCTGTCTTGAAAAACAAAAAGCAAACAAACAAACAAACAAAAAAAAAACCCCAAAAAGCAATAAAAGAAAGAGTAGAAAAGAAAAAAGAAAACATGTTTTTAGAGAGAGGAAAAGACTATGTGTGTGTGTGTCCGTGTGTCCGTGTGTCCGTGTGTCCCCGTACTGTGTGAGTTTATGTGCACCACATGCCTGAAGAGGCCAGAGGGAATTTGATCCCCTGGAACTGGAGTTACAGATGGTTGTGAGCCACCATGTGGGTGCTGGGAACCAAACCTGGGTCCTCTGGAAGAGCAGTCATTGCTCTAAGTGGCTGAGATACCTCTGCAGTCCCCATTTTTATCTTATGTTCAAGGGGGCTTTTTGTGGATCATTAGTTCAGCCTTGCTTTTTATCCCTTTTGGCCGTCCATGTTTTCCTTTTAAGTGGGTGGTCAAGCCGTTTGTGTATTGTCTGTTAATTAGGTCGAGGCCTGGTCTGTCTCACCGTTTGTGTTTGTCATATTTGTTTGTCCCACCCACCCCTTGTCCTTTCTTTGGAATGAGCACATTTTCCATTTTATCCCTCTTGTTGGGTCATCAGGTGTAATTTAATTTCCTTTAATGGTGGCTTTAGGATTTATAGTGCACAGCTTTATCACATTGCTTGTACTTGAACTAATGTGTTGTAACAGAGTTTAACACCAGTAAACTTTTGGTCCTTTTTTCCCCATAGTCTTTAAGCTATTGTCATACATTTTATTTCTGCAAATGGTGTCAGTTCCATAATATACTGCTATTGACCAGTCAGCTATCTTTTCAAGGATTTTTAAAACTGAAGAAAGTATTGTATGTTTACTCATATAGTCTACAGGGGGTGAATTATTTCAGTTTTTTTTTCAAGACAGGTTTCTCTGTGTAGCCCAGGCTGTCCTGGAATTCACTCTGTAGACCAGGCTGGCTTCGAACTCAGATATCTGCCTATCTCTGCCTCCCAAGTGCTGAGATTAGAGGTGTGTGCCACCACTGCCTGGCATTTCAACTTTTATGCAACAAAGAAAGTCCTTACTTTGCTTTCATTTTGGGAAAAAGATCCATTGTTAAGGAACTCTATGTTGATTGATTTCTTGTTGGCTTGAATGCTTTCTGAGAAGTCTGCTGTCACATGTATCTTGGTTCTCTCTGTACACCTGTGTCCTTTCCTCCTGGGTGCTCTTTTAAGCAGTTTGATTGGGATGGGCTTTGTGAGAATTGGCTACATGATTCAGGAGCAGTCATTTTCTGACTGATTGAGCACTCAGTCTGCCTGATACTGAGCTATAGAGCCGAGAAGAGTCTGGCCCTTAGATTTTTAGATCCATAAGGCTAGACTTTAAAAACCAAATTTGGACAAATGTTGACCATCATTTCTTCATATATTTTTCTGTTTTCCCCTTCTCCTTTGAGGACCCTAATTGCATGTGTATTGAGCCCGGAATGCTTTCCCCAAATTAACTGATGATCTGGGGTTTTTTGTTTGTTTGTTTTTGTTTTTTCTCTCTGTGTGTTTTATTCTGAATATTTTATTTCTATTTATTTCTTGATAGAGTCTGACTTTGTAGCCCTGCTAGCCTCAAACTCTATGTAGACCAGGCTGGCCTCAAAGCAGAGATCTGTCTGCCTCAGCTTCGGCATACCATTACCTGGCTCATTAATATTGTCTTCTGCAATGCTTCATCTACTGTAAATTAACAGTGAATGCAGAATATCCTTTTCTCATAGAAAATTCTCCTAAATGATTTACTATGCTTTCAATGCCCTCCCAACTGCACATGAAGGCCTATATTCTTTTATAAAAAACTCATGTTGCTATATTTTTTAGATTAATTCTGCTGAGGCTACAGAATTAAATGATGTCATGTTGTATTCATCATTTTCAACATTTCAAAAGATTGTCTTCTTTCTTTTTTTTAAAATTGCTTCTCAGACATGTGTTAAGAGACTTTGTGCTCCAAGTAAAAACTCAGACTGACTTAAATAATAATAATTACAAACCAAACCAAACCAAACCCTTACTGGCTCATATAACTGGGTGTCCAGAGACAGAGAGACCATGGGTGCCACATTCACCAGCTGGATGGAAGTTGCTGTCTCCAGGGTTAGCTTATTTAATGGTTGTAAAATAGCAGCCGATAGCACCCAGGGCCATAGGCACCCTCAGGTCCTTCGAGAGAGAAATAGGCTCTGCGTGGCCTTCTCAGGAGGATGGAGGGGGATCTTGCCAGAATCCTCTAGCAACATGTTCCTTGAAGCTTCTGTGGTCGGAATTGTGACAGATGCCTGTTCTTAGTTTTCAATGGTTCTGTCCCCAGAATTTCTCATTTCATATTTCATTTTGTTGTTAGTCAGCTAAAAATGTGTTGAAAGCCATGATACGCAGGTACTGCTGGGACATAGATGATTTGGTACCTTTCCTCAAGCTGCTTGTATGGTCAACCTTCCTTCTGTTAGAACTCCTGTTTATTTGTAGTTTAGAGTCATCCTCTCCAGGAGAGAACATACTGTTTGGGTGACCATAGTAGCCAGCAGTTGATCTTGAGAAATATGTTAATTAAAACCATAAGTTTAAAATCCCAATTCATAAATTGAATTTCTTGGCTGCCGAATGGGATTTTCTTGGCAGATCTTAACACAGTTTCCCACTGGAAGACAGATGGCATGGTCTGGCTGTGGTATTCCACAAGCATGGTCTGACTGTGGTATTCCACATGCATGGTCTGGCTGTGGTATTCCACAAGCATGGCCTAACTGTGGTGTTCCACATGCATTAGCTAACATGGCGAGGGTAGACTGTCAGGAGTGAGTAGTGAGCTGTATGGTAGAGAGGTAGATTAGGGCCTGGCCTGTTAAGCTGTTGGATCACGAGTGGGGATAGGAGTGGGAGCGGGGGATGGGTGGGAGTGTTCAGACTTCACCAGGGTAGAGAAAAGGCTTTGAAGGTTTTGAAGAGGAGCCGCGTGTTACAATTTGCTCTTTAAAAAGCTCAGCAGTGGTGGGGGTGGGGTGAGGGGTGGGTGATGGTGATGGTGGTGATGGTGGTGCTGGTGGTGATGGTGGTGGGGTGGTGATGGTGGCGGCAGCAGTGGCAGCTGCGCACGCTTTTAATCCTCAGGAGACAGAGGCAGGTGGATCTGAGTTAGAGGCCAGCCTGGTCTACAGAATGAATTTCAGGCGAGTCAGGGCTACACAGAGAAACCCTGTCTCAAAAAAACAAACAAACACAAAAAGCTCACCTTGATGGCTTTGTGGAAAATGAATTGGAAGGAAATAAGGAAGCAGAGAGACTTACTGTAATACTTGAGAGTAGCCTGAAGTTGGGTGGCCGCAGCACAGGTAGGGGTGGAAACTGATCTGTAGGAGGTAGAGTGACCGCAGTTCTTACTAACCACTGTATCCCAAGTGACCAGATCCAATAACTAACTACTCGTGAGGTTGATTTAAGTGAAAGAAGGTCTCTGGGGCTGTGGAGCACACGACTGTTTGCTGTAAGGACATTGCTGAAGTCCTCACACCTTGAAACGCTGTGGTCAAGCCGCCAGCAGCCCTGTACCCTACAGCTTATTGTACACACTGCCACAAACAGCCGTACACTGTAAGTTCCACGGTGGCAGCCTCCGCGAGACTGTGGGTTCACATCGTGTCAGACACTGAGGTACAAAGATGAATAAAACGTGGCCCCTGAACACAGAGTTCATAACCTCATTAGAGAGCAGACCTGAGGGAATAATTGAGATAATCATTTCAGATCAGGAACAAAGTTAATCATGAACGAACGCGAAGAGACCCATGAGTAACTGACCAGATGTGCAATCACTAAGTTCATGTCCCATAAGTTCGTGTACTTTACTGATAAGATAGGCTGTCATATACAGCTTGCTTTTCTTCTTCCTCCCCCTACTCCTCTCCCTCCTCTTCCTTCTCCTCCTTGTTCCTTTTTTTTAATGAAAATATTTTTATTTAATATGTAATTAATTATGTATACATAATATATATCAAGGAAATTATATATTTTAAACCCATGTGAGTCAGCTCACTGGCTAGGGTTTTAAAAAGTGATTTGTCAATGTTTATTGAATTCATTGAGAAAGTAATGGAGTCTTTATTTTTTTATTTTTTTATTATTGTTTATTCATTCTTGAAATTTTCTTTTTTTA